ACAAAAGCTATCTAGAGAGACCAATAACCAACGGCAAAAATCTGCTTCAACCAGCTTGGCAACTATCTCTGCCACCTTACATAAACTTTGGTTTATTTTATATAACATCATTTACATTATAGTTTAAAAATTCCTCTGCCCTTGAAATCGCCATGACAATTCCAAGGCAACCATATAAAACGTAAATTTTTTAAAAAAATCCAAGTCTAAGAATTACTACCCAAATTCCCAATAAAAGCCAACCCCTTAGCCTTAAATATTCCTCCCCTCAATTAATAAGACTTCCTCCCAGTGCCTGCCTGCTCTCCTCTCCTGAGAGTATACTTTCACTTTCCATAAAAAAACCATCCCTTAGTTAGTTTATGTGGTGTGTCCTAAAATTCTTTTCCTGACATTTACCAAAAACTTAAAAAAAACCTCCACTTGGAGGCCGCTATCATCTTTGTGGCGAGCCAGCCAGGAGACGCTGCCTAAGCCTTTTGACTGTGATGTCGTCATTTGAGGTAAGCACATCCTTGTGTCTCACTGCTTTTGCAGTTTCTCAGTGAGTTACAGGTGCATAGCCTCGCCCCATCTGGCTGACCGTGGCTCCCCTTGGCTGGGGTGGCAGAGGGTCACTCCTCAGGCCATGCAGACTCAAATGGTCACCGGACACTGGGTGACACCAGGCTAGGGAGCTGGCAGGGGACTTCTCCGAGCCCTGCAGGAGCCCAAATACTCCCTCTCCAAGCCATGGCAATTCCATGCCTAGCCTCTACTGTTAGACTTCATTCTTTTCTGTACTGCTCCCCATATTTGGGGGCAAGATGCTTGTGCCTTAACATGCCCCAATCTCCTTCTGTTTGCTGTGTTTGTATTAGGTTTTTAAGGAAGGATTATGAGGACAGACAGGGTGACCAGAGGGAAAGGGAACTCGGACTATGGTCTTGCTTGATCACCTGACTGAATGCCACAAAGTGGAGGTGGTTTGATATAATAAAACCCTATGGAGGTCAGCTCCACCTGGACAGGAAGAAAACTCTATGATATTAAATGTTACATAGAAAATAGAAGATCAGCCTTCCTGACACAGAAAGCTCCACTCCCTTTAACCACTGTCAGGGCTAAAAATGCTCCATCAGATCTGGGAGAGAGGATGGTGGGATTATCAGAGGTCACAGAACCTGAGAGATGCCAGTTCTAGAGCAATAAACCCCAGCATAGGACCACTAGCAAGTGGACATGGCCCATGCCTCAAGCCCCTAGACAATTCCTCACCCCAGCCCCGGGTTCGTGGATGCCGGGGCGGGGGTCTTTCCCGGGGCCACAACCACGGGGGCAAGGAGGAGGGTCCAAGAATGCCCAGACTCTGCAGGGTCCCATGGCTGACCAGGACACCATCACAGTGGGTAGCAGGCAGGGAGAGGATGGGGACGCTCGTCCTCTGTTTTCTTCGTTTCTTTCAGGTCTTACCTATAAAGCCAGAAAGATAAACAATACCCTCTCCATTCTGAGGGATTCTCCCCCCTCAGCTATACTGTCCAAATTTGGGCCTCCTTTAAATTAGATAACATTAAAAAAAAAACCCACTCATATTCCTATGTAACACTGCCTGTCCCCAATATAAATTGGGTGAGAGGAAGGTCTGGCAGGTCAGTGGGAGTCTAAACTATAATACTATCCTCCAATTAGACCTCTTTACAAACAACAACAACAACAACAACAACAACAAAGTCCAAAACAGTCCAAAATCCCTTATGTTCAGGCATTTATGGCCTTATGAGAAAACCAAGAGACACAGAGAGCTTACACTCTAACACACCGCCATGTAAAACGGGATGTTTCTAGGACCCTTGACTTAAACCTTACACTCTCTTTTGATCCCAGTTCAGAAAACCCCAAAGTCCCCTCGGAGCCTCCCAAGCACGGACTAGAACCTCTTGAGACAATTCCAGCCTCTACCCCTAAGCCCCCACACTACCCACTCACATATCCTCAACCACCCGGCCCTAAACCCAGCCCTAGACTCCTATGCCCTTTGCAGGAGATAGCCATGGGCCAAAAAGACTAGTAACCACAGGCAAAAATCTGTTTCAACCAGCTTGTCAGCTATCTCTGCCACCTTAAATAAACTTTGGCTAATTATAATATCATTTACATTATAGTATTAAAATTTCTCCTCTCTTGAAATCACCATGACAATTCTAAGACAACCATATAAAATATAAAAATAAAAAAACCCAATCCTAAGAATTACTCTCCAAATTCTTTTTTTTTCTCTTGAGACAGAGTTTCGCTCTGTTGCCCAGGCTAGAGTTCCATGGCGTCAGTCTAGCTCACAGCAGCCTCAAACTCCTGGGCTCAAGCGATCCTCCTGCCTTAGCCTCCCGAGTAGCTGGGACTACAGGCATGCACCACCACGCCTGGCTAATTTTTTTCTATTTCTAGTTGCCTGGCTAATTTCTTTCTATTTTTTAGTAGAGACGGGGGGTCTCGCTCTTGCTGAGGCTGGTCTCGAACTCCTGACTTCAAGTGATCCTCCTGCCTTGGCTTCCCAGAGTGCTAGGATTACAGGTGTGAGCCACAGCACCCAGCCAACTACCCAAATTCTTGATAAAAGCCAATCCCTTAGTCTTAAATATTCCTCCCCTCAATTAACAAGATGTCAAAAGACCAAAAACCACTTCCTCCTGATACAGCTACTCTTTGCAGCCTGCCTGTTCTCCCCCTGAGAGCGTACTTTGATTTTCAATAAAAAGCTGTCACTTGCTTGGCTTATGTGGTATGTCCTAAATTCTTTTCCTGATTTTCACCAAAAACTTAGAAAAACCTCCACTCGGAGGCTGCTAACAAGATGAGCTAGGCTAGGCACTCTATAAAGCATCAGTAAATAGCTGACCATCCTTTGCTCACACTCAGTAGTTTATATCTCAGTGTTTCACATTCATAACAGAAACCTAAAAAGGGGTGAGACCCTTTCTGATTAATACCAGCAGAACCAGGCAATGGCAGCAGATGCCACAAGCAGATTATGACATAAACAGGGGAAAAGGAAGACAGAGAAAAATGTAGAGGTTCAGAAGTGAGAAGTGATCAAGTATTCTCACTAGTGGTCTCAGGGGCCTCTTAGTGGCACCCCACAATCAGCCTTCTGCAGAGACAGTGGACTAAGGTGTCAAAGTCCAAGTTAATAATTTAACAGGGTTTTTGTCCTTTCTTCTGTGTTCATTTTGAAAAAAGAGCACAGAACACTAGAGTCAGCCGTTTCATAACAGTCCATTTTTAGTTTCATTCATTTCACAAATGCTAATTGAGCAAGCGACTTTCAGGTAAGAAGTACATAAACACAGGAACCCATCCCTGCCCTTAAGGAGTTCCTAATTTAGCATAATTTAAACATCAGTCACCAAAGGAATTTAGTGAACCCACCCTCAATCCCAGCTTCCTCTTGGATACAGCATTTTAAAAGTCAACACCCACATCTTGTGATAGAAAAGGCCACCCCAATAACTTGGGAACAAAACTTATTTTTAAAAATTATGGGCCAGGCATAGCGGCTTGAGCCTGTAGTCCCTGCTACTCCAGAGGCTGAGGCAAGACATTTGCTGGAGCCCAGGAGTTCGAGGCTGCAGTGAGCTATGATCGTACCACTGCACTCCAGCCTGGGCAGCGAGACCCTCCTCTTAAA